GAGAATAATACCATTTTGCTTAATCTCAGTTATTGTGCCAATTAAGATCTCACCCCTGCAAGGCTTCATAGCGGTGTAACTAAAGGTTACTTGTAACAAGATTTGATGTGAATTATGATCAAAGTGCATTGTAGAAATTGGGCTTCTACTAGAAAGTGCAACACAATACCCGTTTTCTTTGGATGTTTTTTTTGAAGTACATTTATGATAGAGGTCGAGGAATATAATTTCCTCATGAGTGTGAGTTACTGAATCGATAACACTAAAAGGGATAACCATATGAGCATACCTTTCAATCTCCAAAAACACCATCTTTAGCAATATGGTGAATGGCTAAAATCATAAGAAGAATAATTCATTAGTATTATATTGTAAGGAAGCTTTTGTGCTTAGATGCCAAAAAGTTTATGGAAATTTATAAATGCATATGATGCAGTAAATTACAAATTTAAATTAAAAAACAAGAAACTAGTCATAAAAGAAACTAGTCATAAATGAGGTCCATCTTTCCTAATGCTTTATAGTTGATTTTGTTCAATTTTTAACAAGTAAAAAATGGCACACACACACACATCTATGAAACTAAAATAAAAAATTAAATTAAGGCTCGGATGATAACTCACAAAATTCTCGATCTATTATCAATGACACAATTACAGACTTAGGCTCAACAAAAGGCTTGATTACTGATAACTTTGGAAGAGAGTCTAGAATTATTGTACACTTATTAAATTGAATAAAATATGTTGATACAATTGTGCCTATTTATAGGAAAAATAGAAGAATTATAAAGGGAAAAAAATTAAGAATGGGGATATATTATCATAATAATGATTATAGATTCCTACTATAAATATTTGATATACATTTTATAATTATATAACAATGAATGCTTTTAACATCTCTAATATTTATATGGAAATAAGTAATTCCAATATATCTAAAACTCTTATCATCATTATCAAATTAGAATTGCAAGACAATAAAACCCCGACAATTATATATGCTTTTTTTTAAAATTAAAACCCACTCCCTGGCCAACGCATTAATTTAAAATAAAGATTACAAGTTTTTATGAGGGATGAATAGCTCACTACTACTTGAAAGGGATACATTCAAAACAAAAATAAAATCCTAAGAACCATAAATCCCTATCTAATAAAAATCACAAAAAAAAACCAAGAAAAATCTACGGAAGGCTAGGAGCCATCAACCAAAAAATGCAGGTCCACAAAGAATTGTAGAAAAAATAGGAGTAAAAACACCAAATGGATCGAGTGCATCACATAGAGGCACCAAGATCTGACGTTGAAGACCATCACCAAATGAACCACGTTAGAGTTCCACCCGACTACTGTTGGATTTTTGCTCGATCGTGGTTGAACCACCTCCAGGCTCCTTCCTGATCGTGATCTTTATAAACTCCTGAGTACCAATACAATGTTTGACCAACTCTCAAAGCTATTGTAATAGCACAGCCTCCAAGTTAAGGGATGGGACAACCTTTGTAATTCAGCCAAATAAAATGAAAGCTTTTCACTTGGGTGACGCCCTATTGTTTTTCACTTTTTAGGTTTTCCATGTAAAATTTTTTGTTGTTTTCTTACTATCTCAACTAGATTTGTAAGGTCAACTCAAGTTGGTCTTCATAATTTATAGGCTTAGGTTCTGTTTGGTCAACTTTTGTACTGCTTTCTATAACAATTTTTTTGTACAAAAATTTATTGAAAGCAGTGAAAAGCAGTGGTCAAAAGTTGTATCAAACGAAGCCTTAGTCTACTTACATATTTTTGGTATGGTGCACAATTTGTTATTTGCCTAGCCTAATATGGATTAAATTAACCCTTCTACTTTGACCACCCATTAGAAAGCTAACTAATGGGAGAGTCTTATGGGGTATAGCTCTCTGAACTGGCTCATTTGCTCAAACAATTAAAAAATAAACATGAACAGAACCTTTCTTCAGTATGAGCCGATTGAATTATTAAAGCTTATTTAGTTCATACTTTCTTAACCTTAACAAGGGTTAGTATAAAAGATTTGTTCTCTAAAATCTGGCATTCTTTCTTCTTGATGTGCAACCTATATTATATCATGGCTCTCAATCGTACATTGAGGTTTAGTTTAATAACTTCAAGCCAATTTTTTTTATCAAAAATATTCTTTTTAATACACTACATTCCTCCATGTTTTAATGAGAATGTTTTAATTAACTCCATGCAATATGGGTAAGATAACTTCCCTGTAGTAGTCAGACCTGATCGCATTCTATATGTTGGAGAGTCATTCATCCACAGTAAGCCTACTTTCATTAAAAAATAATGTTAGGTTGAAATGTCATATGTTATGACACCTTGCCACAAAATATTTAGCTCATTGATTAATGGCTATAAGAAGACATTTATTTTTATTTTTGGTTTATGTAGTCCATATATGGTAAGTGTAAGAAATATATGAGGTGTAGTCTCATATTTCTTTAGTAAAGATTGTAGGGTGTTTTTTATTACTAGCCAACATGAGTAAGGTGAAGTTGTCTGACTATAAGGATTTAAAACATCTACAAATAATACCAACCTTATTTTAGCAAAGAAGTAAAAATGGGTTTAGTCAAAGTGCTTCTAGGTCTCAAAACATGACGGTTGAGTAAGAACGCCATATTGGAAAATCTTTTTGTAATGCCATCTCATGTTCTCAAGGGAGCTCATTGATGCATACAATTTTTGAGGCCTCAAAATGATATGCAAATTAAACAATCGGCTAACTCAAACATCCTTCTATTTTTGTTGCTTCTCATATTTTGATTTGAATCAAGGTGTGCTGCAATGCCAACATATTATTTATATAAAGTCATCCATGCTTGTACTATAACATGTAATTATTGATGCAACAATCTATTTTTTTAGCACTCAAACTCAATTTGGATAGTAATTTCTTAGTCCTATATAAGAGACTTGTATAAGCTTACTATAATTATATTGTCCTCAGGATTGGTTTCTTTCAGCATTCCATAAAATTGATTGAAATACAAACAAAAAAAATGATATATTATGTCTTAATACTGAGCATCCTACTAGTGACTAATAACTCTAAATGATGGTGCAACCAACTCAAATTGGTGGTTGAGCTACTCACAATAATTTATAGAAGATCAACATGTTGCATAAAAACCCATATCTTTGTACATCCTATTTTCTTCCACTAGTAATCTAAAACTCGTTAAAGTACTACCTTGAGAGTTAGAATACGGCTCGTACTCTCTAAGTGAATTAGGGGTGTAAACTAGTCAAGTCAAGTTTTAGCACTATCGAGCGCAGCACGTTAGTCAAAAAGTGAGCTCATCCCACTATAAACGAGCTAGCGCCAGCTAGCAAGTCTCTGTGGGACTTTTTAAATATTTAAACTTTGATTAAATATTTTAAACATTTATTATTATTATTTTAAAATATTTAAATATAATAAATGAAATAAAATTATTTTTATAAATATTAATAATTATTCAAGTCACGAGCTGAGCCTCATCAAGCTGGAACTCGACTCGAGAGCTCGACAAGCTTGGCACGCAAGCCCATAAACGAGTCGAGCTCGAGCCGGCTCGGTTCACTTACACAGTTACACCCCTAAAGTGAATTCTAAAATCAATAATCTAGTAGGAATCCTCTACGAGATAAATTTACTATAACCTCATCGGGCGTAAAGTTTGCTTGATTTGTATGCTTTGAACTCAACTAAAAGTGACACTAGTTTTTGTTATGGATTGATGATTTTCTTTTGTTGTCATATGATTGCATGACAATTTTTTTTTTTTTTTGTATTTATTTTAAGATGAAGGGGATGCTAATCCCATGTTTGACTCATTATTAATATGATGATATCAAATTTTGAATTATGTTATCCAATAATTTAATAAGTATTTTAATTCGAATATATCATTTCCACGAAATCATCGAAATGAAAATTGATTTCATGAAGATCCAAAATTTATTTAACTTAGTTTGTGAGTTGTTATTAAATTTCATTACAAATTGATTTAGTAGTATCTTATCGATGGTCTTAATGATGATGAGGACAATAATTAAGAATCATTAGATTTATTAAAAACATAATTTAGGAAAAATATATAATTTGTTTGACTTAATTTTTAAAATACTTAATTTACTTCAAAATTATTTATATTAAAATTATTCAAAAAATATTAGATTAATGATTGTATACTTAATTTGGTCATCACTAAATAATGTTAATTATATTATTATGTTTATAATTAATTAATATTAATGAAATTATCATAAGTTATCTTGATTAAGTGTTTTTCCATGTTCACAAATATACTTGATTTTTGTATTTCATTAAATTTGCAAAATCATATTAATTATAATAGATTAGATCTTAGTTATAATTAAATACATAATTATATTATACTTAATAAATTAAATTAAAATTCATAATGTTTTCTTACATATTAAATCTTATATATCATGACGTTATATGTTCTATTTAAAATTTTCCAGTTATAAGTTAAATTAATATTTACAAAAAATTAAAAATTCCCTTTTTTGAAAGAAGTTTTTTTTTGTAACTCTTAAATGTTTATTTTTTCACTAATTTACTAAGTTTTTATTTTTTATTTTTGTATTTGTATAAAAATATAAAGTGTTAATTAAATAAATCTTTTTTGGAACCTTCATTTGGATAACATCTTTCTCATTCAATCTCTAATTTTTTAGATATTATTTTTCTTTTGTTAAACTCCAATCCAATAAGATTCATTGTTGTTAGCTAATTGTCATTAAGTCGCCTTTAAAAGATTATAACACTTGAATTGATAATTTAATTTATAAGTCATATATTTTGCTTCAAAAGAGTACAAAATAGTCAATTACAAAAACTTTATTTTTTGCTTCAATATTGAACCCAATTGGATACATGGATACATCTCTTACATAAACAACTAGAAAAAAATATTGAGCTAAGCCAGAATCTCAAATACTGAGCATATGAACTCAAATAGGTCCAAGATAATCACCTAAAATAGTTGCCTCAATATTAAATGCTTCTTCTCTTCGAATCCATTTCACATCGAGAACTCTGAACCTCACCTTAGTACCTTCCTTGATGTAAGATGATCCTTTCACTTTTAAGAACATTGGCTCATTCGATAGATTGAATTCGTAATCTTCCATTCTATTTTTTGAGAGAAAAATGGTCTTCAATGGCCCGGATTGTAAAACAATGCCATTCTCATGAATCTCAGTTACAGTGCCAACTAAGATTTCACCCTGGCAAGGCTTCATCGTGGTGTAACTAAAAGTTACTGAGAACACGATACAACTTATATCCTGGTGCAAGGTAATATTAGAAATCGGGTTTATAGTTGCGAGTGAAATATAGTATCCGTATTCCTTAGATGCATTTTCAGAGGTATTCTTAAGGTAGAGGTCGAGGAATACAATTTCCTGATGAGTTTGATTTTGTGAAGTGATCACATCATAAGGAACAGTCACTTCATCATCCATTGTAACCTCCAAAAATACCATTTTAGGAATATGCTGAAAGGCTAAAATCATAAGAATAATAATTCATAAGTATTATATTGTGAAAGAAGTTTTTGTGCTTGTACAAATGAATAAGACTTATGGAAATTTATAAATGATGATAATATAATAAAATACAAATTTAAATTAAAAACTAGGAAATTAGTCATAAGTGCGGTAGATATTTCATAATGCTTCATAGTCGATTTGATTCAATTTTAAATAAGAATAACATGAGACACACACATCTATGAAACAAAATTTTAAAATTAAATTAAGACTTGGATGCTAACTCACAAAATTCTCGTCAATTATCAGTGGTACAATTACAAAATTAGGCTCGACAAGAGGCTTGATTATCGATAACTTTTGTAGAGGCTAGAATTATTATGCTCTTATTAAATTGAATAATATGTTGATGCAATAGTGCATATTTATATGAAACATAGGAGAGTTATAAAGGAAAACATAATATATAAAAATATCCTTAATAATGAGGATATATTATCTTAATAATGATTATATATTCCTACTATAAATATTAGATATAAATTCTATAATTATATGACAATGAATGCTTTAAAATCTCTAATATTTATACGGAAAAAAGTAATTCCAATATCTCTAAAACTCTTATCAGCGTTATCAAGCACATGTGAAATCCCGATTATTAGAATTGCAACTCTTAAAAATCGAATCAACAAAAGGATCAAATTTAGAGTCAGTGCAGTCGATACGTGCTTGAATTTCTAGAATGGACATATGCTTTAGAACTAAAAAAAATATTATTTGATGATGAATGATGAATGCAACATTTATATGTATGCGTGTTTGTGAGAGAGAGAGAGAGAGAGAGAGAGAGAGAGAGAGAGGGTGAAAATTAGATTGAGAGGAGTACACATCAAGGTTTTCTGAAGAGGGAATATGAGTTTCTTTGGCACTAACTTGATAGAGAAAAATAAAGTGTAAACCAAAATTATCTATTCCAACTTTAAAAAAAAATATGTATATCGAACATTATATGCATGATTTGAAAGCATTCTCTTTTTTCCATTTTTTTCGGATAAAACTCACGGAGGGGCCTACGTGTTAAATAAGAAAGCAATTACAGTTCCTAAAATGACCAAAAGCTATACTAAAAAATACAACATTTGAATTAAAATCTAAAGAGCCTATGAGTGAACTAATACAACTAACAAAGGCAAAACCAGACAACCAAAGAAAACCCAAAAAGGAGTCCCTAGAGGAAAATCAGAAACCTAGAAGCGAGCAGCAACACCACTAGAGAACCAAATTAAACAGCACGAACAACTATAAGAAACAAAACCTACAAGGAAGAAGAATCAGCTCTGACAAAATGATGCAAACAGAACAAGAGCCAAAGGTGGAAGAAATCAAACAACTACAACCAACAAGCAACAAAAAAGACCCATCTGAGAGCACCCTATCCAAACCTAATCCAAAGTCCATAACTGAAACCCAAACCCTAAACAAGAATAAAAAAAAACCCAAAAAATCAAACACCACTCAGACAACCAAACGAGCAGCCAAACCCAAACTCAGACCCCCAACCACAGGCCTACCATCAATCCAACCAAGCCCAAAACAACTAAAGCCCCAAACAGACCACTATAGTAGAACTACAAACAAAATAGGAGGCAAAACCAAATAAGAAGCCCCAACACCAACAGCTAAGACAAAACAAAAAAACACAACCTACTTAAAAGGACAAAAGAAAACAAAAAAGAAAAAGAGCACTCATTTCTTTCTACCTTTTCTTTGTCTAGGCTTAGCAACATTCTTGAAGAATCCCTCATAGGCAATACAAATAACATTTAAACCATAATTTTTCATATACTCATCGCGTTCGTCTTCAATTTCCCCATCATCTTTCAAATTAGCTAAAGAATCACAATTAGCTAACCATTCACCTTGAGATACACCATTATCCAAGGCTTTTAAGGCCCAATGTGCTAACAAAGAATGGATAGAACTAATGGAAATGGGAACATCGATAAGTGGCACTTCAACATTAATATCCACATAGGCCAAAGACGATGGAATAGGTACATTATCAAGATAAGAAGAATGAACACCCATAATTTCCTGATTAAGTTCACAGTCCTGACTACAATCATTTTCCAAAATAGAAGCTTTATAAGACACCATAGTATTCAAACCATTAGCAACATCCACATTGTTAACAACACCAGCAAACAGAGGGCACAATAATAGAAGGATGCAAAGAAGAACATTCAGAATGAGAATGTCCTAGAGACTTGCAATGACTACAAAATTTAGAAAACTTCTCCATTTCTACAAATTGAGCATACCCAAACTTATCAGGGTCAAGCCAAATTCTGTCAAGATAGTGTTTGGTAATGTCTAACTCAATAAGGACGTGAGCAAACAAAAGGTCGCGAGTCAATCACGGTAGCTTTGTCAGTTTTAAGAGGTTTAACAAACAACAATCCCAACTCATGGAGGATACGGGGACAAAACAAATGAGCCTCAAGTTAGGGAAAGAGACCCAAATCAAAATCACAGGGGATTTAACATTAACGTAAAAAAAGGGAGACCTCTTAGATAACTTCATTAAGCAGTTGTTCACCAAATAAGATCGATGAGAGAAGATACAACGATAGTCTAAATTCTTAGCTGACTTAATCAACACATGCTTTCGATTGAGCAAAGTAATACATAATGAATCAGTGAGCTTAACATAAAAAAAGAATTTACGAATAACATCAATTGAGGGACGGCAAGCAGGAAAAGTGCCAATCAACGAAAGCTCAAAAGGCACCGCCAAAGCAAGGTATTCCTCCTCCGAAATCTATAGGGAAGGTAAGCCACACTGAGTAGTAAGTTTAAGGTTAGGAAATGCCATAATTAGGAAAGCAACAGAAAGAGCTTCCAGGAAAGAACGAGAGTTTGAATGGCTATTCAAAACCCTAGATCTCGCACACTATTTACTTCCATTCAAGCCAGGAGTCCGGAGATGGACAATCAGGAGACCGGCAAAACTATACAGAAAATTAACCCTAAGAAACGAAGAAGATAATGGGACGTCCTTGAGTGCGGAACCACGGTGAAGAGCCGCCCCACAAGGGGGAAACGAGCTGCCATACAGGGGCAAAACCCTAGCTGAGCTCTTTGATACCATCTCTTTTTTCTATCTTCCTTCATCATATCCCCTTTTTCTAAGTTCCCGCATTTTTTTTAGTTACATATAAAATAAAATTTTTTAATATTGTAGGTTGGTTTTCCCTATGAATGTTTATATAGGAAATTATTATTACGTTATTAGGGGAAGTTATATTAAGAGAAGAGAATAAGTGTATTTTTAATCATTTATGGTTTATTAATTGCTTGTTATGCTCCCATATAGGGTGCAAACGAGTCGTGTCGAGCTCGAGTTAGAGGGTGTTCGAATTAAGCTTGCCTGCAAAATATCAAGCTCGAGCTCGACTCAACAGAGGAAAAAAAAGGCTCGTCGAGCTGCTTCAGCTGCATTTCGAGCTCAATCCATCCGTCACTGCTAGCGTCTTTCATCCGTTGTCAGATCCAGCGTCCGTCGTATGTTGCCAGCTTCAGTGTCTGTATATGTTGCCAAGGCCAGCTTCCGTCGCCAGCTCGAGCATCCGTCTATTGAGCTTCCATCATCGTGCTTCCGTCCGAGTCGTCGAGCTTCCATCTGCGTCCGCCCGCAAGCTTCTGTCCACGTCCACTAGCTTGCGCTGAAGATATTCCGTCATCAAGCTTCGTCTTAATTTTAACGACTACTTAAAATCTCTTTATGAATATTGTTCTAAGTTAAATTATCTTGACAAGAAAAAGCACCTTCCAAAACAAAAATACCTGAAAAATAATCCATAAAAATTATAAATAACTATAATTACTTTGATCTGCATGATTTCTCATTCTCTTTGATGAAAATCTCTCTACGTACTTAGCTCCTCAGTAAATTGAATATTATTGTTCAATCCACATTTAAATTGAGTTTCATTTCAGACAAGATAATTGCATAACTTTTTTTTTTTTTTGTATTTACTTTCAAGATGAGGGGCATGCTGATCTCATGTTTGACTCATTATTAATTGTGGATTCACAAATTATGGATTGAAATGGACTATAAAAGAAATGGTTTCTAAAAGATTTCTCTTATTGATCGTTGTCAAAAATGCTTTAATGCTAATAATTTTTATATGTTTATGAGGATTATGGTTTTACCGAGCAATCTTACTTTCATAATTTTGTATATTAAAAGAGCTGCTAATGTGTGTGCGGTGTGGTTGACTAAGGAAGGGTCTTTAAGAAATACTTTTGTGTCTTTCAGCATGTTAAATGCTCATGCTATTTTGAAAGGAAGAATTATGATGGATGTCTCGGGGTTGCTTTACATTATCAATTAACCGGTTGGCATGTTATCCTAGGGCTACTTTATAGTGATTCTTGCTTTATTTTGGTGCGGCGTGTAATATCAGATCTGCTCCAGAATCGTCCGGGACGATTGTGGATCGTCCCGGGATGATTAGTTCAAAGTTTGTTCCAGAATCTGTATAGAAGTTACAGGAAAGATTTCCTGTAGGCATCTTCCGGGCCGATCTGGGATCGTCCCGGGACGATTAGAGCATGGCACAAGTCAGAGAGTAGGGGTTTTTATTGTCTAAGAAAATTAATTATCGTCCTGAGAAATCGTCCTAGGACGATTGGATTTTGTTCAGATCGTCCAGGACGATCGTGCGATCGGCCAGGCCGATCAAAAGGTTATTTAACTGAATTCAGTCATTTTGAAGAGAGAGAAAATCAAAATTTAAAATATCTAATTTTTCTGAGGAGAGAGAAAGTCGAGGGAAAAAGTGCAAAAGTTGATATTTGGGCGACGCCGGGCCATTTTCGTCCGTCGAGACAGTTCATGAAATTGGTGTACGCAAGGTAAGGCACATTCCGCCTTTCTCAATTTTCAGAACGGTGAAGTTTGA